GACGTAGTTAAATTTTTATAATCAAAGCTGCCTAAAATTTTGTCAGATTATTTTTTGGATGCTTAACTTTCATATAATCGTTGGAGATCAAGTGAGATCAAGTGTTCCACCAACTTTTATTAGAAGCCATTTTGACAATATTAATCCATAGTACGGTATTATAAATGTGTTTTTTTAGTTTTTAAAGCGAAGTAACTAATAAAAGTCAATTTTTTTGAATAAACATTTCAAGTTTCACGTGAGCAAGATAAGATGATTAAAAAATTAATCGTCTTACGAATTTTACGAAATGCTATAAAAGTATTAGATTTACGAATTAACCTTAAATTTTTGGCCAATCAGAATTTTGTGTAGATCATCCAATAAAAACAAACTTCTAACTCAGTTGTTATAAGACAAATTATAATTTATATATAGATGCGTTGTATAAAAACACATCGCAGTATGCGACATATACATTTATCCTTATTTAATTTATTAAATTACATGCATCGTAAATAATTTATTAAAAATTAATAAAACTAATTTGTTAAAAAAAATTAATTAGTCTTGCATCTTGCGAAGTATAGTATATATTTCTATAATAATAGTTAGAAGGAAAGTTATATTTATAACACCATGTTATATAACACCCTATTATATATTTACCCTAACCTAAAACTCTAACCCTAACTCAGACCAATACATATTTTACTATAGGTGTTATATAACACTGGTGTTATGAAAATCATTTTTCTAATAATAATAAATGAATAATTGTGTCATGATTAAAAAAATCAAGTAAGGATGTTCACAGTAACTGGCCACGAAGGGCTTCCAATTTCATTATTTATGTATCCGTTCCTCACCTACAACGATTAATACCCGATTCCCATCCACCCGACCCTCTTAAGAAGTAATTACCTTAATTAGTCGGTCCCGCGAACATGAAACCAAAGTACTAATTGAGGTAGTAACCTCTAAAATCATTGGAAGAAATAATAGACGCTTACAACAAGTCGTCCACCGTAGGTCTGAATGCCTAACTGGTGACTATCACAAGTTGTGGCCCGATACGCTTCTATATTCTTTAACCTTTGGTTAAAGAGTCAGGAAAGAACACATACAATCAATAAACGACTATTCAGTTACTGTATCGTAAACCAGATGAATTTTCACCAGTAAACCTGTCAGAAAAGCAAGCTTTAAGCGAGCCTTTCCTTCCACTTGTTTCAAGACGTGTTTGCAGTATTTATTTAACCTAGACATTTATGATACATCAATTGCATGTATCCTGCGTCAATCCTCTACAGTGTTTTTTCAAGTAACATAAAAAAAAATTATTGCTTAGCAAGAAAATGCGAAAGTATAAAAGAAAGAAATACGTACAAAAAAAAAGGTTATTGTTTTGATTATCAGAAAATATATCACGGTTACACGAAAAAACAACATAAACTTTCTAAACATGTAAATTTATTGAAAAAAGTACATATTATATGCATTGGCTTATTATGTTGATATTAATCGATATTATGCGTAAAATGCAATCTCACTAGTCTTGGCATTCTTGGCATTCTACCGCATATTACCATTCAATTTGTTGTTATTTCTATTTGTTTGATTTGAGGAGATGGAAAGAGAATAACGTTAAGCGAAAAATCGAATTTAAGGAGTTCTCTATTTTTAGTTTACCTGTGCAGACAGTACACAATTATGAGTTTTGTCGACCAATTCATACGTACAAGTAACTCATCAAATTTGCATACCGTATATTTCGAAAATCGCGCCCCCTAAAAATAGCATATGTGGATTCAAAATAACCCCATGCGCGTCCAAAATAACGCGCACCCCGCTATTATGTATTTTGAAAAAAACAGGTTCAGTCCCAGACCCAGTTCAAACTAGTCCTTTGTGGGCTATTTAACATCCCAAAAAATCAGCCTATATATTCGAAATAACACCTATGGGCATACTCGAAATAGCGTGCAGATGCCCGCTATTTCGAGATTTTATTTACGGTATATTACAAAGAATAAAATTAATTAATCATTGATAACTCGTAATCAATAATTATTTTTTTTTTTATTGTGTGAACTGTAGAACCCATGTCAATGCCTGACCTAATTTAAATATTGCAGCTTTGAGTGATTTACAGGAAAGCATATATAAGCAGTAGATTTTCGAAGTTTTAAGGACTTATCCCCGTATTAAAAAGGTAGAGTAAGCGAATGCAACT